TTTTGGGATGGGGGTAGCAGAGAGGTGACCAACCCTTGAACTGGCAGAGGGGTGTGAAAGAGATTACTAAAGTCTGAGTGCTGTCGGCGCCACTCGCCTTCTGAGATGGAGACCGCAAGATCCCCACTGTATCTGGCTGGAGACGCTGCAGAATACGTCTGCTTATCGATGTCAGTGGCAATTCTGCTTCCAGTTTCCCAAATGTTCAAATGAGTGCATGGAGGCGTAGAAATCTCGAAATAATTGTAGTAAGCTAACACTGAGTCCCTTCCCCATCCACTTTCCTACTTTTATTGATTATATATTGACGTTCATGTCCGTGATAAAGTTTAGTTAGCCGTTATCGATTGGCTTGAGGTTAAAGGGCGAACTTTGAGCGATGATCATCCGGTCTTTGCAAAACAAGCTGGGTTATCGACCAGACACATTGAGCACGCGGATCAACGTTGACAAAGCCTGAGAAAGACTCGATTATCCACAAGAGTTCTGAGAAAAAGGGGAAAGCAATGAAATGTGGCTGTTGTTCTGTCGCGGACTAAACAAGACAATACACAAAGCACTTACTCATCCGAACAGAGAGGCACGGATCATCAGTTTTTAAAAACAAGATGCATATGATAGTTATACTTTTCTTGCTCAATAGCCTGTAACCGTTTATTTAGTGTCCTAATAAAGAGCCCCGCGTCGAAGGGCTTTCTTCCTTTTACCAATATTCCGATATATTGCCAGTGTGTGCGTCGTTTATGAAACATCAGGTTTCAGGTTTTGGAACGGACTCCATCCACGTTTTGGGGCTTTTAGGTACTGGGAGTGTACAAGCCAGAGCCGAGATGTCTGGGGGCCCGAATATTCCCAGGAATTCTTTGCGTCGGGAGGCACTGAAACGAAACCCGAGAACAAACATTTCGATTGAATACAAAACGAAGTACTGCAAAGACGGAAAGTTATTGGGTTTTTTTTAGTAGAAAAAGAACAAAGAACTCTTCGCAATCAGGAAAAACACGTGACTTTCGGAATCAATGCCAGCTCGTTTGCATACTAATTCAGAAGACGCCGTACTCTCGTCCTGTGAATTTTTCTGACGAATAGGGTTAATCCTAATGCACTGGTGACCGTTCGACACACTATAGAGTAATTTCGCCAAAATGTCAACAAACCTTAGTGTAAACTTTGTGGCGCCTTCACACGCACAGAGGTTTGAAAAACAGTTCGAAATTGGCACGCAGAAAGTACTAAGGTGGCGAGTATCCAAGTCGGACATGGGTTACCGGATGTGATCGACTGGCTTCAATTGTTTATCTAACTGGGTAGGTGTACTCCAGCCGTTCGATATTTTTCGGTGACATTTTGTTGCAAAATTCATTTGGAACGAGGTGAGTATAGGCAAAATTAATACTTGGTTTGGCAGATGTGCGCACAAATTTAGTGTCGTAGCAAGAGAGAAGTTTGATTGAAATCGATGGAGGGTATCAATGTTCCGAACTCAAAACGAAGCTGCTAGTTATCTGTAGGCATATTTTGACCAGTCCTTCCATACTACATAAAAAGATTGGAAATCGGAAAGAATAAGCTTTGAAAATTGTACGGAAATCGTCACAAATCCCTCCGCTTCATGAGCTTACCATATATCGGGCGGCTCAACTGAAACTTGGATGGCCTTCAAGCTACACATTTGGAAGAGGGATGTCAGAAACGATAAATTCACTTGAATTCCAATTAGACTTGATATTAGGTTTTTTATTGATTGTATAACTTCATCGGAATGTCTTAAATGCTTTTCGAGCTTTCATTGGATTGTGAATTTGAGTACGTGCTTAGATCCAAAGCCAGTTTTTTCTTCTGAAATCATTTATTGTTGGTAGATACTCTTCCATTAGAGCGAAGGTTGGCGGTCCGAAATGTGTGAATAGTCGCGGGTTTTCCCGCTGAGCTGTAAAGTTTGTTTGTAAACATGTTGCCGCATTATAAGAGCTTTGTGTAGAGAGGAGATACGGCAGATTTGATTACAAGACGGTGAGCTCAAGGTCACCTGAACATCGACCAATCAGAGTTGAAACATTCACCGCCCGGGCAGCCAATCAAAATAGAGGTTGAGTCTCATCCAGTAGACTGTATGGAAAGACAGACTTAACGCTAGTCAACAAACCCAGTGGCGCCTCACATCGCTGTGCAACATAGTGGCTCAATGAGGATGCCAAATTAACTAGTAACCAGACCTTTTCTATTGATTAATCCGACTCAAAATGATTTAAATGGCCGGACTTTAGTCCGCACGCACCAGAAATAATATTGCCACACACGATCAAAAGAACATGATGGTGAACACTTATATACGTGCAGAAGAATCAGGAATTTAAACAACAACGAACAGTCATGGTTGGGGTTGGAAACACTAATAGGGACTCCACTGACTGGAGTGTAGGGCTGTAAACAAGCCCAAAGTAGCAGTGTCAGGCAGTAAAGTGATTGAGTCCTAAGCTGAATGCAAGAACGCAAAAGGGCGGAGAAATTACAAGGATGTACGGAACGGGCCTGTGTACGCCTGAAAGTGGAAAATAAAACCGTGCGCAAAGTAATAACGACATACGGGTGCAATCTATGTCTGCCTTTTCCATCCGGAGGATGCCTTTCTCCTTACGAGATTTCTGTATATAACGCTCTCTAACACTGAGGCCTACTGGGTTTTAGCTCTACAGCAGTGTTAGAAATAACTTCTCGCAACCACTGGCCCAAATGACATGAGCTAGCTAGATGTTTTGGCATACGTCCAACTGGCGGGGACTGGCGGGTTACAACCAACTACACCGTCTACTTACGATTGGGCGCCGCCTCTTTTCGTCTACCCCTCGGTCTTGTCTCTGGGTTTAAATTTTTAACGAGTTGTACACGTGGCTGAGCGCAAACCGCTAGTGGAATTACCCATCCCATTTTGTTCTGGGTTTACACGGCAAACCCATTTGCCGCAGTCATATACGGTGTCAGTTACTCTACAGCGTGTCTCATAATAAACGCAAAATTTGATTGGGTGAGTATGCTTAGTTAATTAGAGAAAGGATAACAAAATTTTTCATTATTAGTAGTCACATAGATGTTTCGTATGCAATTGTTTGAACTTTTGTCTACGATGAATGTCAGTATGCGCACTGAAAATGTGAAACTTCACTATTCCCTTGGTGAAAGCGCCACCGCTGCACCTCGTGGTTACAAAACCAAACATGGTGTCATCAAAGACCCTTTCACCGCGTCGACCATCATAGGCATAATTGCAGAATTTGAGTCCAGTGGATATGTATTGGATTTTCCTGGCAAAGGGGAAAGTCTCTGAGTGATGAAAGAGTGCCCACTGTACAGAATGCCGTCGAGCAATTTCAGTCCCAGAGCACCATGGCATCTCCGACAATAACTCAGGTGTCTCAGTTGACCGGCATTCCCCGCGCCAACGTGCATCGCATAATGAGACGCCATTATCATCTCTATCCGTATCAGTTCACTTCATTACAAAACATCACGGAAGAAGACAAGGAGCAACGTGTCACGTTCGCCAACTGGCTGCTGAACAATGAAAAAGTCGTCTCCAAAATCTTATGGAGCGATGAAGCAAATTTTTCTGTGGATGGCATAACCAACAAGCACAATTGCGTGATATGGTCCCGTGAAGCTCCTCACGAGTACC